CTGAGGACCGATTTCAACAAAAGATGAACTCTCGAGGACAACAAAGAATCTGTTGTTCTTCCTTTGTCTGTCTGTCCTCGGGTGTATAGTTCACGTACATACATCCATGTACATGTTGTAGGCAGTCTTGTCAATAGGACAACTTGGACAAAGCAAATGATGGTTGACACATGCCAAACTGGCCAATTCCTTCCCTTTTGGTTCACTGCCAAGTTCCATGAATTTTCCCGTATTATATTTTCCCCCCACAATTCCCCTAGGTTTTTCCAGAGTCCAGACTGACAAATTGGGAACTCGTTTTCAAGGTGTTCCCTTGGCTGTAGGGGGAACCTGTGCACAGACCCTGTGCAGGTTACAGGCCTGAATCTATCAACACATGTATTATATCAACATACACTAGCTGAGTAAGAAAAGATTGTTTAAAAGCAACTACCGGTACGTACATGTAAGGCGTTCTGGCAGCATAGACGGAATTGGGCACAGGAAGTACATGTACATGTTGGGCAGAAAACAGCAATAAATTTAACAGCACCGAATGGGGGTGATTTTGTTTTCGAGTTTCAATTATTGATGTTTGGTACGTACCGGTACGTACACAAATGATGTCTCCATGTACAGTACATACAGTATTTTAAGGAAATACAGCCTGTCTAAAAAAAAATGGTACCGTACAATCAGAAAAAAAATGGTTAAATAGGAAATTTCAAAATAAGTCATTCTTACTTGGCATAATATTAAAGAACAAAGACTGGACTTTCCAATAGTGTTTGTTTGATCTTATTTGCTTTTGTCAATTCAGAGAGATAATCAATTTAGTGCGATACACCAAAATCGATTTTGTGCCACTTTTATGCATGGGCAGAGTTGTTTCGAGTACTGTGCCATGCTGTCTTGAAGCTCACAAAAGATTGCAACTTGGCAAGAGAAACAAACTCGATTTGTGTGTTCCGCAGTAAACTGGAGTTATCTCTGGATTGACAAAAGCAAATGAGATGAAACAAAAAGTATTGGAAAGCCTGGTCTTATTTCTTTAATGTGATGCTCAAAACGACTTACTTATGTTGAGATTTAATATTGAAAAAAAAATCGTTTTTGATTGTACCATTTTTTTTTAGACAGGCTGTAGTATAAAAATTGAGGTATAAGTGTTTCTAAGGGGAGAAAAGTATAAGTCAAAAATTCTAGTAAAAAATTCCAATAGTTTTTACTTTTGGACATGTTGATAAATGCAAACTTTAAACAGCCATAACTTGTCAATGGAATGTCCGATTGAAGTGCAACAAACAATATGAAGGAGAAATTTATTCTCTTTTCTCAAGCACCTCATTTTGACCTCTGCCGAGTTCTGTTTCATTTTGCCAGAACGCCTCAAAAATAAAGTTGTGCAAAAAAAAGTATCCTTAATTTTTTTTTTACTACAAACCAATTCAATTCAAGGGTTTCATTATCGATTTGTCGCAGCCCAAAGGCTGAATTGTAAATGATTTACAATAAAGTACAAATTATTTGAATTACTTCATAGAAAAAATGAATTGTCATAAATGAATAGCTATCAAATAAGAATAAATGAATAAGGTGTCATTTAGCAATATAAGGATAAAGAATACAATGTTTTTTATCTTCCAAGTAAACAATAAAGCAACAGTTGTGCTGATGAAATTAGTGTTGCTAATGAGTTCAATTAAAGATACAAATTTTGATTTTATATAACAATCTATCAGCAAATCAGAAATTATCGTGGATGCAAATGTTTTCTGCACTGAGAAACTTTCTTTACGTAACAGCTTAGGACTGTACTGTCCCGAATATACCGAATGTGAATATTTTATCATCATCGAATATCTGATTAGCTTCTTGCCAGTTTGAATATTCGAAAACCAAAACAAATATGCATGTTTATTGTAAGATTCCGGTGCTTTAGGCCCCCCAAAAAAATCTCCGGTTTCTGGTATGCGCGCCAGTGTTGGAGCAAAGGCTTTGACCCTCAAGGCCAAGGCCAAGGCCAAGGCTTTGACCCTCAAGGCCAAGGCCAAGGCCAAGGCTTTGACCCTCAAGCCTCGAGGCCAAGGCCAAGGCTTAACCCTCAAGGCAAAGGCCAAGGCCAAGGCCCTGTTTTATGAAATGACCACTGATATAGAACTAATTATAGTCACATGAGTGACACATCATCACGCAAGGGTGGATCCAGAACACAATTTTGGGGGGGGGGGGCAAAGAAATTTTTGTTCCCCCCCCCCCCCCCCAAAAAAAAGTGGGTCAAAAAATTACGGCTTGGGCTTCGGGGCCCGCTTAAGGGCCCCGAAAAATTTTTGGATTCTAGATGCTCTGTGGTGCGATTTGAGGCAATTTCTGACCATTTTAACCGATGTTTTTTGAGGAAAAGATGGTGGTGTACTCATTGCCTGCCTTTATTACGATGTCACATAAAAAAAATGGTTTCGGTTTTTTTTGGGGGGGGGGGGGGCATGGCCCCTTTTGGCCCCCCTGCATCCGCCCTTATCATCACGGATTGCTCGTGACGAAGAACAACATTTCTTTAATTGCAATCAACATGCTCGCATAGGCCTACGTACACCGTTTTATGACTGCACTGTATCTATTAAAGTATAAGTTCAGGTCTTCAATATGGTTTAACTAAACAAAATAATGATTTACTTTTATATTGACACACAATTCTCCCAAGTGTAACAAAAGGGGGATCCAAGAAACTGATTTAGGAAATTTTTATTTGCTGGCCCAACATGGTCAGAAATATCAGCATTATCTAAAACAGATACATGCAAATCTTTAGCACTTATCAGGGAGACATATTCAACAAATCAGATCTATTCCATAGTTATATGCAATTAAAGTGATCATCTCATTAGCCCCACAAGTGTACGGAATATTGTTGCATCAAATCTACTACAATGGTAACAAAATGTGATGCTACAAAAGTGGAAGTGTGCCCAACACACAAATCTATAGGGTGCTTCCCTCCTCCACGGTAATATGATTAAAATGGTAACAGCAAAATTTCGAACAGATTTATATGGAAAATGCAAAAATCTATGGGCCTTGAAGAGCCTTGACTCAAAATTGTAAGGCCCTGAACCCTCAAGGCCAAGGCCAAGGCCAAGGCTTTTGCCCTCAAGCCTCGAGGCCAAGGCCGAGGCCCTAAAATCCAGCCTTAAGGCAGCCTTAAGGCCAAGGCCCAGCATCAAGGCACTACATCACTGATGCGCGCGCGTCGCCGTAGCCATGCGCATCGGCAAAATGAAAACGTTTTTTTTTCAATGAAAGATGATGTCTCAAAACCGCCAAACTCACTGGTTTGACTGGAATCCTGCTGCTGCACAATTTAAACGTGTTTTTAGATTGGGTTATGGTTGAGAATAAGCTTTATGTGACCTATCTGGACTCCCATATATTTGCACTAAGTTTAGTCGGGCACCATTTGCAGTCATCAGCTGACATTTGAAGCAAAAAAATCAGGTAAAAAAAAAAAAAAGCCGCGTCGCCGCACCACTATTTGGGCAAGCTCCATACCAGAAACCGGAGACTTTTTTGGGGGGGGCCTTATTGTCAGGTGCCACATTTTGTTTGTCGACGGTACCTTTTTGTCAACTGCAGTTCATCGTTCCCATCATTTTAATTTAGCAGGTTAAAGCCCTTGACATTTAGGCCCTATAAAATGCTTACTGCAAATCACTCCAGAGGACCATGTTGATCGCCGCACACAAAGTTTAACTGGCATGCTCTGCATCAGCCTTGACTCCATGGGCACTTGCGTATTCCTTCACTAACCCCTGGCTGTGATTAACACGTAAACAACGTAGACCAGCTATTCAGAGCGTACTGCGCGCGCATTTCAAAGATTGCATGCCCTATACATGTAGGGCATTCGCGCGCTACGCACATCACATCACTTACAAACATTATATTTTTTTCAAAACTGCGCGATGCCTGTACGATATGGATTATGGTAGCCTCATTTTTTGCCAAAAAGAACCTGTATCTTCGGTTGTTAAAGCGGTACGTACATGTACATTTAATACAAATTCTTGCTAAATAACGCAACGTCAAAACCTTATGTTTGAAAGGATTTGTTCTTCAAAAAAAACAAACTTTGAACATTTTAAACATGGCGTCGTGCGTTAGATACATCGACTGCAGTCCTAATTTAAATGTGCCATTATTTGACACATTTAAATGAGACAATTCCAGGGGTTAAGATTGTGCAAGGCATGATGGGAAACAACAGCAAGATCATATCCATGAACACGAGGTTGGCTCTGCATTTCGACCGGCACGGCTCGCAGTTGCAGCTGGCATTTACTTATATCCGAATATTCGGTCTAACGCAGTTTCAAGTAATCAAACATACATACTAAATTATTCCAAACTGGACAACCCTAAAACATCTCCATGTAATTTGGCTGAAGGAGTTGGGTATGGCTAAAATTGAATTACTTTTACTATTAGTCCAGTGGATATGTGACAAAATTGTGCACTGGACTATATAGGGAGAATGCAAGAAGAGTCTTTTTTTTCCTTTTTCGGTGACATGTGGGGAAAATCAATTCATACAATATCGTTTATTTCATGTGGGGATTTTGCTTTATAAAAGCCAGGTATTTTTTTCATCATACCAGGATCTTGGACCAGGACTCATAAGCCCACTGTAGCATAATTACCTGTATCTGATTAATAAATTAAAGGCAATTTGCCAAAAAAACACACAATCAAGCGGCCAGTCCACCGCTCTCCGGACAGGCATTTTACTTTGTTCCTTTCCTTTCGGATCTACTTTTGGAAAACCACAGGCAAAGTCCATGCCGCACATGATGCATGTACAGCCCCACAATTCAGAATTTCAATGATCAACATCTTTATTACCGGATATACATGTACTGTTAACAAATTGACTCATATGTACAGTGTTGTTTTATTTAAAAGAGGAATTCACGGCATGCGTGTGACAGAAAAAGAATGATTTAAAAAGTCCAAATCCAACTAACCTTGGGTGATAAGGCACATCTTCTGTGTGACTTGTTACTTCCAACTTGTGCCTATCTTGATCCCAAAACCACAGTGACGGCACTATCCCGTATGCAGCGCATGTCAGCATTACAGACTCCCCGTAGCGCACAAATACGGTAGAAGGGCCTTCAAACACCAGCATTGGATCAACTGTGTAGAAGAACAGTGCAAAAGAGTCAAGTGCCAACTTCAAACTGCTGATTGTCGTGACTTAAAAGATATCTTGCAAATGATGAAAAAAAAATTACTTTAAGGACCGTCAATGTATCAATATAACTTGATTATTCGATATATTTTGATATCGATATCGCTGATAAAAATTTCTTAATCATATTGAAATATCGAAGTTTTCAATATTGAAGAACGATATCGAAAATATTGCCACAATAAATATCGCCACAGTAAATCTACCATTTGTTCTTTTACTTTTTGTTTAACGTTTGCTGTATAATGAAATAAAACTCGCCGGCAACTCGATGTGCTTGTAACTCAAAATAAAAACATTGCGAAATGCCAAGCGGCGTCGCAAGTGGGTGAGTCTTCAGCACTGAATTAAAAACACCAAGGCTACAATGTAGCAGCATTCCTAACATTAAGTGGAAGATTATTCAAAAGGCTCAAAAGGTAAGGCTTGATCCCAAGGGTAGCCTTACCACAACCTGCAGGGTAGTTCAGAAAAATACCATCACCAGAACTGCAGATTACTCTGTATTTGGTCAGTACCCGTGCCGAAAAATGTTCGAGTTTTATCTCCTTGGTTTTTGCCTGGCCATCCCCTCGGTACAACACCCAAAAAGGATGAAGACCCCCTCTATCAAGGCTTGGCCTAGTGACAGGATGATTGATGACCTTGTGATAACAGCAGCTACAGCTACACTACACTAATAAGAATACAATATAATTACAATACTACAAGTGACAATACAAATCCCATGGGAATTGGCCTGGTTCTGATCTTTGCCTCAGATATATATATTGGGTCAAAGGTTCAACCAGGGTTATAAAGGGGCACTCACGATGCTTTTTAGCTATGTCTCAATAGGGAACTTGTGGACTATGAATTTTTTTGACGTAAACATGATGGAGTAATTAAAAATTCTTATGACAAATGTACTGACAATGTCAGCGTCGCACACCACAGAATTAATGGCTTATGGTAAAAGTATCAATAATGGTAGCAGACTGCTTGAATGCCATAGGGACGAGTGTACCGGTAGCTCTCTGACTCATTCCCGGGCTTTAATTTCCAGCATTAAAATATGATTTTCTGCGCAACTGAATATCAATGACGACGACAGGTCTATAGTGAATACCCACCTTTGCTGCAGGATCTTCCCTGTAGTCCTTTTGGGCAGAGGCACTGACCAGTGAAAGGGTGGCACTCTATGCCAGGGGCGCATGAACACCGGTGGTCACAGTCCACACCGTACCTCGCATGAGGACAACCTGTCCCGGATTAATAAGAGAAATGTGAAAAGATTTTACAAACGGTACTTGGAGAGATAAGTGCATTGCAAATCAAACACTTTGTGATGCCTTTACCGCTAAAAATTGGTCTAGCAGAAGGGTTTCCTTTTGAATACAAACACTTGAATTATTAGAATTAATTAATTTACTGAGGTTCTGTTTCCCAACATCAGATTTTTGTTCCTCCTTGATGGTTCCTAGCCTGAGGTTCTGGTTCCTACACTGATTTTGTGGTTCCCACAGTGAGACTTTGGTGTCTACATTAAGGTTCTTGTTGCAACACCAAAAGTTTTCACTCCTTTATCAAGGTTTCTGCTTTCACGTTGAAGTTCTGGTCATAACATACACTGAGGTTCTAGTTTCTACACTGCAATTAAGGTTCCTTTTTGTAGGTTGTAGTTGCTTTCGTTAAGGATCTGGTTCACGAATAGCACGAGTTCTGATTGCTACGTGTACCTTGAGGTTCTGATTCCTACACTTTCGTGTTCTTACACAGAGGTTGGTATGTACACATACTAGCCTCACTGAGGTTCTGGTTCCTTACACCGAATCACTGATTCCTACAATGAGGTTTTGTTTTGATTACAATGAGGTTTTTTTCTTTACAATGAGGTTCTAGCTCCTAATTCACTGGGGTTCTGGTTCCCACACAAATATTCTGGTTCCCACACTCAAGTTCGGGTACAAGCTTTCATCGATGTTTTAGGTTCTGGTAATTAGAAATTGACATTATGGTTCCTACGGTGACACTTTGGTTTCTAATTGAGGTTCCTGTTGAAACACCAAAGTGTTTGCTCTTCCATTACGGTTTTGGTTCTAGCACATGTAACAATGCAGTTCTAAATCCTGCATGTCCTACACTGAGGTTCTACACATAGTTTCAACATTGTGATTCAGGTTCCTACCTTAAGGTTGACTGATTATGGTATTTAGTGTAGGAATGTTTCTTGAAGTTTAAAGGGAATATACATCATTTGCTTTTGCTGTAATTTTCAGAAATGGATGGAATTGGGGGGTTGGAAATATAAAGCAAATATAGTTACACTGACTTTTTGGAGGTTTTGGGTTCGAAAATGCTATAAAAACCAAGAAAAACGATCATTTTCCTGTAGTCGGGTTCCCTGACTCCATATAAGAAGAAACAGAGCAGTTTACATACATTGGGGAATTGTAAGGTCAGGGAACCAGTCTAGCTGGCTCGTACCCGTTCATAGGTTTGTAATCGATTGCAAACAAGTGCAATGGTCAATTGGGGCCAGTATTTGAAAAAAAAGCCAGTTGTTTCCAACGCTGATCGGCCGATCAGCGTTGGAAATTGATACAAAAATACCACTTTTCTTCAAAATGACAGTATACCAGGCGCCATAATTTTACAGGATGCTTAAGACTGTCATTTACCAACATCCTATTAAGGTATTTCACAAAAACTTGGTAGTTTTATTTTTCGATGTTTGCAAATGTTGTATATTCCCTTTAAGGTTCCTACACCGAGATTGTAGTTACACTAGCCTCACTGAGGTTCTGGTTCCTACACCGAAGCAATGATTCCTACACTTAAGTTTTGATTCCTACCTAAAATGAGTTTGTATTTTTTACAATGGGTTCTAGTTCTAGTTCAGGGGTTTTGGTTCCCACACCAATATTCTGGTTCCTTATACTAAAATGATGGTTCTAGCTTTTATTGAAAATTAGATTCTATTTTTTCTACGATGACGTTTCGCCTCCAACACTGAGTACCTAAATCAAGGATCTTTTTCCGACGCTACAATTCTGGTTTTGGACACTGAGATTCTGGTGTCTACAGGCAAATGTACCTTTCAGTTCCATTGTTATTACAGAGCTAATAAGAGGACCAGCAAGTAAACCAGCTTCTTCAGAATCAGTGAACTTGATTTGGCAGTCCAACTGGAGCCGGCCCTCTGATGCAGCAATGTTATCCACTGTGAAGTTGGTTCTCATATCTGAAAATATGCGCGACGGATCATCTGTCCAGGGAAAGATAAATTACAGTAAATCCTTGTATCGTCAAACACTCATCACTCAACAAAAGTTTCATCATTTCTTATTAAAAGTGTGCAATGCTGAGATATACAAACAGCCTTATTAGGACTGGATAGCTTTGGACTTTGAGATGCACTTTCAGCGTGATAAGGCCAAAACTATACCAGTATATTTTGTATGGTTTGAGGGTGGATAGTCGATATTAGCCCCCAAGATATTGGAAGTTGACTACTGTGCTTTCCAAGGCGAAACTTCCAATACCGATGGGAGCTAAAATCGACTACCCACCCGAAATAAACCATGTTTTATTTGTTTTAGTATATATTTCATACATTGTACATATTTAGTTGCCAAATCTCGTCCAGCTCACCAGAAGAATATTGCTCAACAGAAGAAAAAGTTCAGTTCTTTTGCAATACAGTAACTCTCAACTGATTCTCAACCTCATTATGGCCTTTTTTTTTCTTTAGTAGGGGCAGGCCAGGATTCGAACCTGGGCCACAGTGGTGAGAGGCGAGTGCTTTACGCAAAGCCACCCATGCCACCCTTAAATATGTAACCGATTGCAAACAAAATGTGGACTAACTAAATTTGGTAATTTGGGGCCAGTATTTGGTAAAAAAAAAGTCAGTTTTTTCCAATGATGGTCGGCCAACCATCATTAGAAAATTGATACAAAAATTCCAATTTTCTTGGAAAAATTACAACACCAGGTGCCATGATTTCACAGGATGCGTTGGACTATGTATTTTTCAAATACAGTCTATTTCATAATAATTTGGTAGTTTTTTATGTTTGCAAATACTTAAAGCACAAATTTCACACTAATGAAGAAAAAACAAATTAGAGAGGGAGAAACAAATGAAACAATAAAAGAGTGGCACGGACGTGTACATACCCCTGGTATGTCGCCAGGACACCAAGAGGGGACTAGTAAACGGTCGGTGTCTTGAGATGTTGCCATTCATGAAGGTGCACTCAACAAACGAGCCTAGTAACATGTAGACGTCGATTGTGTAGGATATAAAGATTCTCACAGCACCTGCAAAAAGTATACATGTATTCACTTATTAGAGTTACATATTACAAGTGTACTAAGGGAATAAGATGCACTTGGCTGGTTTTAAACAAACATTTCAAACCGGCTGGGAGCCTGCATGGACGTGGATAATGGCCCGAGCAGATCATAAGGCAAGGGTCATTATCCGACCAGGCTCCTATCCAGTTTGAAACGTGCATGTACGGTACCGGCCAAGCGCATACCAGTAGGCCTAATTATTCCCACTTTCAAAAAGTCAAAACACGCCAAAAATTCACGTTAGTCAAATGATTTAGCTCAAGTTAGGCCCGGCCCAGACACCATGCTACTGCCATGCCAAACTCAATTAATTTGGCGCTTTTAAACTTCAGCTCAGCGATAGCACGGTGTTTAGAACCATTTGGCTTGGCAAATTGAGTTCGGCATGGCAACGCCCTTTTGGGGCAACAGGGCTGCTGCGCTATCGCCGTTCTTAACGGCAGGGACACAGGCAGGCACACGGCACTGTTCTAAAGGCTGTGCCATTGGCGTGCCGAACTGAATGCAATTCGAAGTTGGGGCAAACATTTTAGGAATGCGCATGCTCACAATACCCCCTTTTGCTTCCACATCACGGGAAGTGATATTTCTCTTCTGCTGACACTGCATTAAGGTTCAACTACATGTATTATGTTTGGCGTTTAGAGTAACTGCAGTTCTGCAGTGTACAAGCTATTGCCGCTCTTATTTTAAATAAGTTCGGGCTCAGCAGTTCGGGCTCAGCACTATTTTGTGAAACACCCCTTTTATGCCACTTGCCGTGTCTATGATATGTACCGATAGCTTGCGGGCTTACTGCTAAAAATATCCTTTTTTGGAGACTGGCGCGCATGCGGCGTGCACTGCACCATTTGGCGCAGAACGCAGCAGCGCAGGAATGAAGTGTGTAAAACCACCCAGTGTTCCTCCAGCAGTTTAAACTGACCCACGAGAAGGGCTCTGGACCAATAGGAATGGGTAAACTGTCTCAGTATGAATATTCTGAATGATATTTATTCACTAATGAATCCAACAACTGATTTGCCTTAACCCTTGCAACTGTGCCTAAATGCATGTAGGCCTATGTCTTTTCAATAAATACATTATTTAGTGTACAATTGGTTTACATGATACATGTATGTCCAGAAATGGGACACTCAATACTGTGTATGACTGTAACTAGTCCCAAAACTTATACATGAACTAATTCGCATGCAATTCAGGCGATTCACAATGCAGAGCGCCACCAATAGTTTGCCACGAAGAGTTCATTTTCCCAGTGCATTGTGGGAGATGGTCGACAAATTCGCAGCGCGGGACATTTGATTTTGTTAGTTTTTCCGGTCAGTAGTTTCGTAAGCCTATAATTCGAGGATCTGTTTGCTTGCCCTTTTCTTTTCTTCTTATCAATATGGTGTTTTATGTAAGGCAGCAGAACGCTATGCTCCAATCCATAACATATTTGATCAACTTGTCTACTGACAATCATTCAAATGGGCCATGTTTTTGTCGACCGTAAATTTGAAAAATGGACTCTCCATGGCGAACTCTTGGTGGCGCACTGCATTGTGAATCGCCCGAATTACAAGAAAATAGACTGGCACCTGAAACAACCAGTCCAACACCCCTCAATTAGTAGCCTACTACATCAATCAACTGTGTCAAAAGAAGCATCTGTATGCATGTACCAACATTCTAGTCATGCCACCAGACAACTGAAGTGTCAATCTTTTCAAAAGTTGGACACCAGCCTATGGGCTTTGAGCGCCAACAAAGAGGGCGCCCTTTTACCTAGCAACAACGTCCCATGGGCGAGACACATACATTTCGCTGGTTGACTCGCGCGCACCGTTCCTTGTGTGTGACGCACGCGCGTAGACCAGGGGATTTGTACTATATGTACACGCAGTGGCTGCGCTTCGCGGAAAAATATTGCAGTCAGGCAAGATCGTCGTTCGGTCACCCCCGAATGTACTTTCTTTGCCGGTGAGCGGATAGCATTTGGCTTCAAATTGAATTCAATTGGCTTCACTCTCAGGCGCAAAATGTTGAAGAAAAGTCTCCTTTAAAAACTCAGTAAGCTTGGCTGGTGAAATACTGATGAGGACCTTGTCTTTAATACATCATGAAAGATTTTGGGGAATTTTGTCAGCTCTGCATGTTTTTCTGCACTCAAGGTCCCTGCAGTCTGGGACTTGGGTAAGAAAGTGATTAGATCCATGCTTTTAACTATGTAATTTACACTTGCTTTACAATGTTACCTACAATGTACTTCTACTGAACTCACATGTGCCATTGATCTTTAACTCCACATTCTGCTGCGTTGCTTGGACATCACCTACGTTAGGAATCTGCATCTCAACATCAAATAATTTGTGGTCCTCCTATTCAAGGAAAGAATAACCTCTATCACAAATTGAGACTTAACCAGAAAGTATAAGGTCACGCAGCGAGCTTCCGGAACCCTCGCGTAGCCCGGCTGCATTGGGTAGCCCTTTCACTTGATATAATATTGATTGGCAGAATGATTTCTAACTGTAACCACCCCAAGTAACACTCATGTTCCTTCAAGTAAAATGAGGAAAATCACTTGGAGACAGATGGGTAATTTCGTTTACGACATTTTACTTCCGGCAAAATATCACTCAGGAACAGAATGTAAAGATCCTGAATTTAACATGTTCTGAGAAAAAAAAGGAACCGGGGACTTACAGTGCTTGAATTTGTTGGAGGAGGGGGCTTGTAACACATCATGTTTTCATCGTCGACGTTTCCATGGCAGGCTTGGCTCATAAACAGGGCGACCACAATCACAGCAAAAGCAAATCCACGTGCAGGTGTGAAGTACTGCTGCATGATGATCCAGCTGCAACAAATGAAAATTAAAAAGTTGCGGCTACAAAACAATGTTAACTACAACCAACAAAACGAAAGCAACAACATTGCCAACAAGAACACAAGAGACACCGTCTAAATACTAGTAAGGCCAAAAAAAAAATAAGTCGGTCTCTGGTCAGCGCGCGCGTCGTTTTTAATCATGCGCGTCAATTTTTTTTTTCCAAAATGTTCCGCGGTAGCTCCAACAGCGCCCTCTATTGCCGCACCTCCTCAATTTTTGTTTACCAAAGAGCACCAAGGAATGGGAAATTGCACCAAGGCAAATGATCGAGAGCACCAAGGCAAATTATGGAGGACACCAATGTGCATGTACATGAGGACACCAAAAAAGCAAAATAGTCGTTTGACCGGTTCCGCAATCGCAAATCGTCTGAAGCGTCTTGTGGCGAAAAAAAACGCGCTTTCACGGGAAGCTACCTATCTATAAATTTGCGCAAATTACTCACCTACTTCATGATATGAATAGTTTTCTGCGATCGTTCGAAAGAGAAATTTGCCAGGACATTTTGTAGAGGTCGGTGCTTTGACCAGTTCCGCAAATGTTTTCCGGTTTCGCAAACGGCGCCCTCTGTGAGACTGGACTGAAAATATTCCTTGTTTACTGGCCAAATCTAGATCGTTTTTGCCCCCAAACCAGCCAAGAAAAGATGTGGATTATATTTCACTGTGAATGAGCCAAGGTCTGCACATTATAATGCGTCCAAATTGACAAAATGTAACTCCATGAAGTTGTTATGGTTCGTTGGATCTTTGTTTACGTTAATATAATTATTTGACTTGCTTCAATCTGTAATTTCTTCTCATTGTCTTCTCTCCACAGGTTTCTTCAGGTTTGCGAGCTTCAGTGCTTGGGGCACTTTTTAGAAATCCTTGGTTTCATTACCAGAAATGATAGAATAATAATAATAATAATCCAATTAAATGACTTTCTAGCTTTTTATGCATTCTGTCAATCATCTTGCAATCACTAATATTTTTCTTTTTTGTTGTTGTCTTATACCTTGTACCGAGTTGCTCCAGTTGGTTGGGCTTTTTTCTCACATAAGCACAGACCAGCTATTTATGAATTTGAATTAATATTTTCTCCAGGATCATTTTAATTCCTATGACACTTAAGGAAGTGACTGCATGGCTGTATGAATTGGAACTGAATCATTGTCTGCAGGGGAGCACTGTTTATTAATATTATTTGTTTATTTAATATTATTATTTATTTACTTTTGTTTATTCCCTCCCCTTTTTTTCATTTTACTTTTTTTTTGTGGGGGGGGGGGGAAGTGTTTCAATTTGTTCAGGGTAAAAACACAATATGCTTAATTTTGTGTGCACCAACATCCAGTAGGGGGAACCTGGGGGCCGGGAGGGGAGGGGAACAGGCCTCAGCAGGCCAGATACATACAGGCCACATACATATTGTTTCACATTCAAATTAAATTTCACAAACAAATTAAAACAAATTGTTAAAAATGTCATAAATCCTATGGCTGTTTCATAGCAATGACAATTTATAATTATAATGTCGTTGGAAAGTTAAAGAGAGGGTTCAGTTACTCCTCATACGTTGTTGCACATATTAACTTTGTACGTGTACCATGCTTGGGCAACTGTATTAGCAAACCTCATCTACCGTTCGGTGATGCTCTTAAAAGAAAATGTCAACACATTCATCACATACATCCCGATAACCCTTTCAATATATTGACATGTGATACCAGCATGTGTAAAATGTAAATGTAATACAAAACTAAAGCACTCAAGAAGCTACCCCTTTTAAATCCAAAATTATACCTGTCATATAAATAAATGGTGATGAATCACAGAAATAGACATGTTCTGTAGGTTTTTCATGCAAAGTAGCATAGTTTTTAAAACACCTCACTTCTCTTTTACATGTACTGGTTAATAAAAATGTATGAAACGCCTTTAAATTTATTGCCTTTATGGCACCTGCATGTCTGTTTAATTGTTATACACAAATAATTTAAGCACTCCAGAGTCCAGAAGCTAGCACTATACAAAAAAAAGAACTTGTCACATAAATAAATTAATTCAAAGGAATGGTGATGAAGACACACAGCTACATGTACTTTCACTATAATATTCAACTTCTTCTTGACCTTCACAGGTAAAACTGAAAAAGATGTGCTGATGGCCTAGCTCTTATGTCCTATCAGGAGGCTGGCGTAATCTTCTTCTTTGTCTTTGGCATTGTCTGTATGAAACAGAAATTTTATATAAATCATTTAGTTTATGACCAAGTTGAGACAAAAATGAGAAATGGTTTATAGTTTTTGACAAATTTTGCGCTCCAAGAAAACAATCAAAATTTGTGTCTCTGTACTGACAAGAGACTGGTCTTCATTATGAAATATTAGTTGACCTATTTTTCTTTTTGTTTTAAAGGGTAAAGAGTAAGGTAAGGACCCACCGAAAAAGGATAATTTTGAATTTACTAAATTACTGGAAATGTCCTTTGGGTTAGAAACACACCTGCGTTTTATTTTCCATATTATTATGCACTATTTTTAATTGTTTCCCACAAACCTCACCTCCTAGCCTGGGCTGACTCATGCACCCTGGATGTTGAGAGTTGTAACTCTAAAATGAATCCAAACCCCTGAGGCACAACCGCTTCAACACCAAGTATGGGGTGAATTTTTGTTAGAGCAAAGGAAAAACGTTTAGTGGGAATTTTGCTCACTATAGAAAGATTTTTGTATTTTAAATTTTGAAGTCCACATTTTTTTATCCAAAACCTACAGTGCTGTCCGGAAGCTGGACAGAAACAAAATCATCGTTTCAATTTCGTTTTCAATTTTTCACTGAACACCCAGAAATGATCATCAAATTCGACATTTTTAAACAAGGATTAATAGAAATTCTCTATTTCTTTGTAACTTGTAAGTTGTAAAAAAAAAAAAGAAGATTCATGCCAAAATAAATAATGTGCGCCGCGCTAGGGGGCCGCCATCAACAATACTTGTCATCAATAGCAGCACTGGTTAATACAGTCACACCATGGCCAGTGTATTGTATAGGCAGTATGAATGCGTTTGCGGAACCGGCCAAACGACCAGCAGTTACTCTGGTGGGTAGGCCTATAGAAAAAAAAATTCAAAGACTTCAAATCTTATATTTGTATGGTGGAATAATGAATAATTTCCGAACAAGTTGCATCTATGGCCATGATTTAATTCCCCTGAACAATCGTGTAGCAGGCCGACAAACATGAAATCACGCTTCCGTGCGCGTTCCATTTCGGCAGTTCGTTAACGGCAAGTGACGGTCGCAGGGGATTTATTTTTAAATGCAAGTGAGTATCCTAAAACTAAAACCATTTTTGAAAAGTAGATTGAATAACCTTTCCATCGATACCAAAGTTTAAGTCCTTGGCGTTTTCGTCTTCCTGAAAACGAGAGCTAGTTTTCCGAAATTGCGGAACTGGTCAAATTGCGGAACCGGTCAATTGACTGTAAAATCTATTTATGTAAATATGTGTAAATCTCCAAAATAGGATATTGAAAATAATCTTGAAATTATGAAAAGTGTATTGGCATTGAAAAAGAAAGGAAAAACAAAGAAAATATGTTTGAAAAGCTCAGGAAATATATTTTCCTAAAGCCAACAAGTCTAACTTATTATTAACAAAACTGTTTATAATTATATCGAGTTACAATGTACATGGCCCGGACAGCACATATTTTTCATGAAGCGTCCCCTGCGCAGAATTAGGCAGGATTCTTTTCTACAATGCCAAAACTGCACACTTTGGAATTCCCCACTTGCTGCCACAAATAAAGAGATTTCGCTTTGTTAATCGGTATGCATGGTGGATGATCGTAAGCCAACAAATTGAACAATATAACTATAAGCTTTGTTGAGGAAAAGAGTGGTTGCTTTGCTTTTTTTATGCTACTTTTATTAAACTTTAGGAATAAAAGTAAGAGATTCAGGATGACTATTGTATTAGGCTACAGTTGTGATATTGTGGTGAGCTTGTTTGATATAAAATGAGGAGGAATCAAATGATATTTGTATTTTATTGTAACTGTTACTCATGGCCTGCACAAGTTGCCTGGTTTGTTCCAGACACATCATCATGACATGCCCTTGGGGCTTGGACCAGTGGCAGATGCATTGCGAAAATCGAAAAGGTTTAGTTAGGCCTACCTGATACCTCTTCAGATCGTCATTCAACTTCAAGATCAGATCGAGCGATGGACTTTGTCACTTCAAACAATGTACAACACAAAAGCAACATGTAGATTAAGATTCGACGCCCCAAAGACCTCAAGATAAGATTTCCTTCTTGTTTAAAATCACTCGGAGTCGTATCGTGAAATCACTTTGCGATCGCCCGATGATCTTGAGCATCGAGCTAGATGCATGACGAGTCGCACGGCGCGCGAAATACATGATGGCGCTCTTACACTTTTCTGCTGATGAAAGAAAAGTTTGTAACTTTTTTTTTTTTTACAAAGAAAGTTAAGTCTCTTATGGAGTGCCGATTCAGGCAAAATCGCGACACGTAAAACTTACTGAATGGTGAATACATGTTAAAGCCCCACAAGGCCAAAAAAAGTCTCCGGTTTCTGGTAAGGAGCTTGCCCATAAAGTGGTGCGGCGACGCGGCTTTTTTTATGATATACAAATGGACACGGACAGTGGCGTCGCCAAGGGGGGGGGGGGGGGGGGGGGGGGGGGGCAGGGGGGGCACGTGCCCCCCCTGGAAAACCTAGTGCCCCCCCGAGTGCCCCCCCCCCCCCCCATCTGAGATTTGGGTTGGTAAAAAAATATATATATATTTTGTTATATTCAACTCCCATCATCTGAGTTGGTTAAATAGCAATTTCTGGAGATATCTTCAGATCGAATTTAGCATCAAATGTGGCCCCATTTTGCATCTAGCCCATCCTACGTATGCGAAAATTTTCCAAAGGGGAGGGGGGCACCCCCTCCCCTTAGACCCCTCCCCCAGGACGGCGATCCGTATCCACCTAAGTGCCCCCCATCAAATGCTGGTGCCCCCCTGTGCCCCCCCAGACTGAAAAGTCTGGTGACGCCACTGGACACGGAACGCGCAAAATCTGAGACAGGGCTAACGAGGTAAGTTTTTGTCACTTCGAGAAAACGGAAAAACACGGATTTCAGGCTTTTTGTAAAATGTTTGTTTACGATAATTACAAAAGTAAACAATATTGCGCTTTGAAACTCAGCCAAATTCTTCTTTTTGTCATGTGCAATAAATTGGCCAGCAAAACTCTAAATCGAAAAATTATCGATTTTTGCAGGTCTTTGTCACTTCGTGAAAACATCATCGAAATAGGTTTTGGAAATTAATTTTAATAAAAGACTGAACTTTACATGTACATACTATGTATTGTGTCTTAACATTTTACTTCGTAAAAGTCGGGGTAAATTCTTCCGTATCATCTCTGTGTTTTGTCATTATTTAAACTAAAAAAGTGTTTTACAAGTTTCAAGTTGATCTTTGACAAGAGCACATTTTTTACACTCGGTGAACCACAGACACTCAAATCACATATAGAAAAGTTTACATAAATTTTATTCAGCATTCTTTGCATAGCGTATCCAGATTTTGATGCGGGGGGGGGGGGCACAATTAAGATTTTACTGTCTCGAAGCCTAAAAATACTTTTGTTTTGTTGTGTTTTGTTTTTTGCTTTTGTTTAACGACGCCATCCCGAATACGCCATTGGTTCTTTGCCATTTATCAAGAAAACTTAACCAGTCCCAAAATGTTGAAAAAAAATGTTACAATATGCTTGTACGAATGTTTATACTTGACATAAAATGCATAGAGTGAAG